TTCCTTACTTTCATATTAGTAGCATTATCAAGCAAGCGGCTTCTCTCATATTGTATACGAATATACTAAATTATCCTCGCGAACGAGTGAATGTCGTAGAATGATTTCTACAACTAGATGAAGATTGTTTGTAAACTTGGTATGTATAGGATAACATTGCTGTTACATCCTGTGTAGCTTCAAACATACATAGGAGGAATAGTGACTAGTTTGACATTCCCATTTACACTTGTGACTTGTTCCCGAATGTATTAATGTACTTAACGATACTGCCTCTCGTAGCATAAACCTTCGTATTGTAAGGAGACAACTTATCTAGCTGAGCTATTTCAGCACGAAGCTTGTAGGCAGCCATTGCAGTTCTTGGGTTGAATAATATCGATTGAAATTCCATGAATAGTGAGTGGCTGGTGTCTACTGTACATGAAGAAGAACTTTGTTCTTGCCAAATAGGTACACTAGTTTATTGTTCAATACCTTCCATCATAATTTCCACGCATGTCAATTGGATTAATTTGCACAGGTTCCCATAATTCCGATATAATAGTCGGTGTAGGAGTACATGGTTTATTCTTTACATAGCTGCTACAGTGCTATAATATCCATATTACTTGAATTCAATATTTAAAATCAATATCTGTTTTCTACAACCTTATTTCCTAAGGTACCTCATCTCGTATGATTCCATAGTATTGGTTATTAACTGCAATGAATTTTTTTTTTTACCGGGATATAGCAAGGTACCATGATAATATTCCATACCTCATGATCTGTAACAACCTACCGATCACCGATTCCAGGTGTTCCGGGCCCTCCGCGAGAACTCAATATTCGCGAGAGGCCTGGCTCGCGGGGAACCCGGGCCCCACGGGAGAACACGGGAGCAGATAATTACCTTTTGATATATACTGTAGTAGATACAACGTGGAATAAAGCATGAAACGGAATGCAAAGCAGTGTTACCAACTGCAGGCCACCCCTCATGCCGCCGGGGCCCTGGACTGGCCGAGGTCCGTGCTGGCCTGAAACAGCCTGGCCGGACGGGCCCCGGCGGGCAATCTTGCGGACTGCGCTTCATGCGGGGTCGCCCATTCCATAGAGTCCGTCCCGTCCATTCAGTCCGTCCAGTCAAGACCAGTCGGCCCAGTCAGACCAGTCGGCCCAGTCCAGACCATGCGGTCCAGGCGGTCCAGCTGTCCACTTGGGGTCTTCAGGGATTTAGCAGGTTAATGACAGTATGTGAACTTCGCGTCTCTTGTTCGTCATTGTTATTTTTCAGTTTTCGTGTTGTCAGCCAGCGGGCTCTAGGCCTCCGCGTCACTTGAGCTCGGTAGGTATTCTTCAGTTCACCTACTCTCGTGTTGTCAGCCAGCGGGCCCTTGAGTTAGTCTTATCTTGTGGCGTACTATCTGTTTGCGTCTTCTCGCTCAGTATCGAGGCCTCTGGAGCTATTTATTGTCGGGCCACTCGGCCTCTGAGCTTGTCCATGTGATTGTCTTATGCACCCGCTTTCGCCTTTCGGCTCTTGAGTTTTATTATATTGCGGTATTAGATGCTGGGCCTGGCGGATTAACTTCTCTCGTCCTGAATCCACCCGGGTTTCGGGTGTCTCCTCATGGTCCCCTTACTGGGACCGCATAGGAGTAATGAGTATTTATAATTAAGAAAAAGAATGCTCCCTATCCATGCTTCCATGCCAGTAGGTATGGCCAATCGGATTGTTTTTTTTTTCCTTTTTTTTTTTTTTTGGAATCTATACGTCTGTGGAGCCTAAGGCTATGAGACGGTCTCGTTCTCTCATCTTAGAAAACTCGGAGCACCCACAGAACAACGGGCTGCATAAGCACCCTACCTCCGGAGTTAAAGAAAAGCGGAAATACCTCTCCTCCTCCACCATGCCCGCTATCCGGCCTTCACCCCGTCGTAAAAAGGTCTTCCGCCGCCACACTCCTCCCAGCCCTTCCCTGAGCACAAAAGAAACCTCTACCACCCCGCCCCCGCTCATACGAGATCTAGGTTCGAGCAGAACGTCTCGACCAGATCTACGGTGTACTCATCACCTCCATGCTTCACCTTCTTTAACTACCTCCACCGCTCGTCCATCTCCTCCAACTGCCCCACCTCCTGCCGATCTCCTCCCCGCGTCGACACACCAGGACTAACGTGCCTGCCTATCGGATTGTAGTGTCGACCTTGTCAAGAATGCCGTACATGTCACATGTCATTCCGCCCATACCTAGTCTAGTATACCACAAAACAAAGCGCACAACAATATATGGCGTGCTCCACACATATGTCCTTTAGATGTACGTCCATACAGAGGCTCACACCAAAAGTCTTTTCCCCTTTCCGGTTGGGATTCTTGCATATGCAATTCGTATGCACCGCATGCTGCTTGGCATAATTCAGCTCCAAAACGGGTTTCAATGACAATGTATTTTATACCAATCATATAGCGATTCCTCTCGCTGCATACCTATTTCTATATGTACCCCTAATTTGTAGAAATCGATCCCTACTCAACAATCTCCACCTAATCTGACTCTTTAGTATTCTTACAGGCCCCTACAATAATGTCAATCCCTACTAGTGAATCTGAGTTATGATTAATGATATTTGCTGGTATTAGTTGGCTTGCGATAGGACAAAAACTTTTCAACAACCTCCTACCCTACTCCCCTCCTCCATCATGCAACCCCAAAAAAACCTTGAAGATCTGTATTCACCAGGCCCTGAACCATTGTAACAACCGCCTCAGGCCTCATCCCCAATCTACTTTGAAAATTCCCGATGTCTTTAATGCCTTCCTGCTCCCATTTCGTTACAATGGCATTAACAACACGATTCTCCACACCCTGAGACAAATTATACTTTAGACTCCCGAAGTGCCAGGTATATCCCTCCTTATCTTTATCATTGGTGATTATTTTATTGCCGTTTGTGAAGTTCCGGAGCTGGCGGCTCAATTTGATGCTAAGTGCTGACATGTTTGGTTATTGTATTTGCCTTGGATTTTTTCTTTAACATCTAGAGCTGCCCGAGTCTAGTGGAAGTAATGTTTGTGGTAGTTGCGCCATTTAACTCAGTTATATACCTTTCAAAGTGCCATGGCCATGGCCAGGTTGGCTCTGAAAACCTAGGTATGTATCTATGACCATGCCCAAAACTCAACTTTTGGATATGACCGTTAACTACAGTACCTTCCTTGTGGGCACCCTATTTTGTTCTATTATACATCACCAATGCAGCAGCCTTAGCATACTATTTTATGGACCTATAATAAGCCATTTAGGTATATACACGGTACTGTTCTCGTGCCACACGGTACAGGCAAACAGAGAAGGTAAAACTTATTACTACATGGCTGCGTTGCCATTGCAACCCGTTTTGGCCTGAATTATGCAACATGCATGCAGTGCATAGGCATCGCATAATGCAAGATTCCCAAACCGGAAAGGGGAAAGTGTAGTCTGGTGCCAGACTATGTTGGTGCGCAGCGCCAAAAAGCCGTCGACAGGTTTCTGTCTTCCCTAACAACCACGCAACTTGATATCATCCTGATTTGCTGAACGATCGTATGATTGTAACCAATGATCACGCAGTGCAGTCGGTTTGTCGTAGAAGAGGAACTATTAGCTGGATTCAAGGCAATCGAGTGAAATTGGCGGGTCAAATCGTGTGTGCTTGTATCGAAAATTTCCTTTCTGTACATATGGGCCTGAACAAGACCAAAAGTTGAACCATATGGTATTATCTAGACACCGCATTCCCGAAACTCCGTCCGTGGCACTCTGTGCGTTGTTGGAACAAGGGTAATAGGACAACGCAGGATAAGCTGACCGCGAGATTTGGGCGCTTAAGGATTTCTCTGTTTGGGTATCGTCATCAGCGGGTTATTTAAGACGGACGGCTTTCCTTACTTTCATATTTTTTAGTATTATCAAGCACGCAGCTTTTCTCTTATTAGATATTCGAATATATCTCTTTCTCCTAAGAAGAGCGATTTCTTCATGCGTATATAGAGATTTCTGGAATCGATCAGGAAATTTCAGAGAAACCTGCGAACAAATTAGTGTATATATCTGTATTGACGATCCACAATGCCGGCGATGGGATCGTATTATGTACCGTACTAATATATTGTATGTGTAAATAATGAAGTCATTTGAGCGTGATTGAAGTTACCATAGCTTCTGGCACAGCAAGCTATCCCGATCTATGGGGAGGTCAACAGTAGCACTGACGAAAGCCAACTGATAGGATACTGTGGAGGCAGTGTGAGAAATTCCAGCCCATCTTTGAGCTTAGTGGTTGCCAAGAATAATGACAAGAGCACTTCGAACGTACAGGCCGGAACAAGTATCAGAATTCACAAATGATTTGCTGAAGTTATAGGGACGATGGTTGTGGCAATTCCTGAATACCGTGAAAATATCATGCGGTGGAGTAGAATTTCTAAGTAGAATAGGAGAGGCCGAGTCGTCGATTGTTCTCGCCACTCTTATCTCATAAAGACGCTCGGCATACCGTAAACTCCCAGGGACAAGCTTTAAAAAAACCATATCAGCTTTGAAACAACTACCCAAATTTTCTAGATAGAATTTTCAACAGTCCTGAGCTCGAGCAATTCAGACTTGCTACTACTATCTTTGTGAGCCTGTGACCGGTTCCCCTAGCTGAGTTCAATAAACAAGCTCAGGGTCTGTTTGTTGCAGCAGCGTTTCTTATGCCCAGGAGAGGCCGACGAAGGCTAACAATATATAACTTTCATTTCAGTCTTCTTCATGTGGAGACTTTTATTCCGATGTATTTCGGTTTTATGAATGTCCTATACTAGTCACAGACTGGAGATTTTAATCCAGGTTTACAGCCATGGCGGGAATTCTCCGAGTTTGATTCAACGAGTACAGTACGGAGTAGGTATTCTGAATTTCTGAGTTGTTCTCAAGGTAGAGTAATATACATGAGTCATGGCCAATATGTATATATCAAGAGACATCGGTTGAATGGTGTAACGGTAGCACATAAGATTCTGATTCTTGTGACCTGGGTTCGACTCCCAGTTCGACCTTATATTTTTGTCTCGTATTATTGTTACAAGGTAATTTTACTTTTGCAGCGTACATGTGATAGTAATGCCAATTCTTATTGTATCTGCAAGCCTGTTCCCCAACGGAGGTTTTAGCCAATCAAGTTCTAAGCACTGATGCCTACAAATTAGCGGAATATCCCGTCATTGTAATTCAAGCCTGCAGTGTGATCTCATGATTGATAACCATATATTGGTTGGCACCAAAATATTTCAAGGTGAGGCTTACTAGTACGTTTGACAATGGGCAGTCACTAAGAGGTCAGTGTGCTGTCTCAGAATACGAAGTCCCTTCAGCGAAAGTTTGCCAAGCTGCTACGGTAGGTAAGCAATAAGGAAACTAAGTACTTTCATAGTCTGGTTGCAACCAGACTATCTACTTCCCCCTCTTCAAGACTACTACTTCCTTAATATACGTATAGACTTGCGTACTTATCGATATATCATTGTGCAATAACCTTCGCATTATACTCTTATCCAGTGTCGAATTCGATGTCTTATTAGCTAAGAGGCCTCATTGTGACTGTGTACTGAGATTGATATATGCAATCCAACCATTCATCTAGTCTGGTTCCGAGCGCGTATCAGCAAGCCCTTCAGTTAGATTGCATGCCGATCATAGCGTCATATAGCGTCAAGTGAGTCATGGATCTTAGACCGCCATTCCCCCCGCACTCGACGAATAAGGAGAGCAATTTCAGGCGGACATGCTAAAAGACTCACCAGCTTGCTGCTTGGAGGCTGAAATGGGGCGTCATGACTAGTCTCGTGCCATCATGACGATACTTATCTCTCGATGACAGCAATACCAAATACCACTTCACTGCGAATACCATAATAAAAATCTCTGAAGCCATGATGCCGATTTGTATTGATGCCTAACTAACTATCGAGCGTCTTGCTGAGCATACACCATATTGAGGAGGATGAAAAACCAAGTATACTTCTCGACTATACCAAATCGGAAGCAGTCAAAAATCTAAACTACACATGGCTCAGATATACCATGCCGTCTCGCGGCGCTGGCACATATGAAGGTTTAGAGTGCTCGGTTGGGTTACCATTAAAACGGTAGGGATTCCGGCAATCCCCTCTTCCAATATTCAGAAATTAGCTAACGGAGTTATAGACAAGGTGTTAATGAAATCAGCAGACCTACTGCAGGGCAAGCTGTCTCAGGATGATGGTTTTCGGGCACGTGGTGTTTTAACGGGAATGGGGGTGGTTATTTGGAGAGCAGCAAATAGTTGTAGTAAGAAGAAGCAAAGATGGGATGGTAGGTAGATACGAACCATAGCTCGTCATAACGCCCCATTTCTGTTTCCAAAAGCAGTAAGATCTCCAAGTTGCTGCTTTCCTTTATGGGATTGTGAGACTTTACGCAATCCGATTGAATTGCTTCCAAGATATAGCAATGGATGTTAGTGTGGTTTAGACAGCACACAGCCATCAAAATCCACCTCCAAATTAGTGTGCTTCCTGTTCAGGTGTGGTGATTGATAGCGATTTTGAAAATTAGATCTGCGACCTTTTACTGACAATGATAAGGAGTATTTGATTATGGATGAACGGGACAGGGACGTCGGTGTGCTTAAGTCTGCGTTTAATCCTTGTTTGGCGAAGCGATTAGCACCTGTAATTATATCTAGAATGTTTAAATGTTCTGTAAGCAAATGTAAGGAAGTAGGCATCTAGATGCGAGCAAAGTATTTGTTTTGATGGAAGACCAAAAGTCTCAGACTTGTGTGTGCAGCCAATGGGACAGTATCGCGATGTGAATATCGAACGTCATGATTTCAGTGACCCTCCAATTACCAATTAGACCTACTACCCCACAGCAAGCCTTCACACAATCCCACTTGACTCACAGGAGAGCTCTTCCTTGATAAGATAGCTCTAACTACCATGGTTGGACAGTATTTAAAAAGCACACACCCGCCTTCCCTCCTAACCCAGCAAAGACCAGAAACTCCTACCTTAACCAAGCCATTGAATTCGAAATACCTCTCCATCCACACATAGCCAACCTCAGGTTCAGGTCCTTTCCTCCAACAAAAATGAACCCAAGCTGCCCAAGTTGCACTCAAGGTCACGGCCCTTGTGTACGTTCTCTCATTACTCTCCTATTCACTAAGTTGATACTGACTTTTTTTTTGGTGGTTAGATCTGCGACTAGATATTCAAGAACACAGCCACCCCAAGCCTGTCTAACCATCTTCCGGCAATGAGTGTTTTCTCAATGTGATAGGGAGGCCTTGACTTGGACTTGGGCGCGGATCTCATGGAGTCATTCGGGTTTTGATTTTGTTGGAGATTTTGAATATTTTTACTTATTCTTTAGTTTATGATTTTGCTGGAGGTTTTGTATGTTTTTACTTTTCTTCAGTTTTGTTGTCGTTTGATGAGCAGTGGTTTGGAGATCAGTAGTTTGATGAGCAGCGGTTTTGCGAGCAGCAGTTTTGTAAGCAGCTTGTTGTTTTTGATTTATATATCAAAGTCAGAATTTACTGTATTACTCCGATGACCACGTCATAATTGTATGATCTTGCATTGATGCTTAGAGTGATCTATATTGGTTAGTTAACAATATTACCATATATGCACAAATTTTCTCGGAAACGTATGCTATTTTGCGTATATACTCCTCATTTGTAAATCGCAACTGGAGGTTCTTTCGACTGGGCCAGGCCGTGGATCATCTAGATGTAAATATCCACACTGCCGCATTCAGAGGTCGGTTTTTGAGGACGCTACGCGGGTATATCTACCTACGCAGGCAGGGTGGTTACTCCGGTGGTCTAGTACAGTTCAGCTCTTGCTATAGGAATCCAGGGCTATACATAGCAAGGATTTTCCCAATTGCAACACCAGCGATACCGGTATCAATAATGTTAAGAGCTACAGGAAAACGAAGCATCGAATATCCTGCAAGGTATAGACTCTATAGAGCACTTTAGCGAATCGTAAAATCCGTCGATCTTAGCCGTACGAATTCCAGCGATCTGTCCAACTAGCATGCGAATCGCGATCAGAAGAAGCGCTTCAAAGTTACCTACAACAACAAATTATCAACGTACCTAGTTATATTGTTTTCCTTGGAAGTTGACTGACAACTTCGTGGTTACTTTTCTTTTGTTTGAATACGTACCTAAGAAAAGAGGGTGATTTGATGCTGAAAAAAACCATGTAATTTTCAAAATTCTTGAAATGTAACTAACCGCAAGGAATCACTTCCCACTCTTAAGCTATATATCGGTCTGCATCCCAGGCCTCGGCTTGAGTAGTGTAATTAATGATATATCTGGGATTTTAGCCTAAACCTGGACATATGTAGATCTCACCACGGCCATGTGGTTTCAAGAGGTCTCATGACTAGCTTCACAGTGGAGGTTCTACGGTATATGTCTTTGTCGAACCCCACCTGCATGGGTGGGGGTAGCATCGGAGGGTTATGAATTAAACTACATATGTAGTGTGCAAGTGCGTATGTACTAAGAATAAATACAGGACTTCTTGTCCAGGGTACCATGGATTACCTTTCAGTGCCCTAAACTATATGGAACACAAGTCCGGTGATAGCAACAGGTGGCACGACCTCTAACGCATTCAAAATCCTGGCATACTGTAGGTACCCCGCTCTCTCTCTTTGGTGAGCTCCGTATCGATCAACTTGCGCCAGCTGTAGTGGCCTTCGATGAGTATATAAACAGTACACATCTGCTCTCTCCTCCCCATTATCAACGACCAAAAACTCCCTCCTCTACCTATCGAAATATCTATCCATCCACACTCTACAAACCTCCAGTTCGGAATCCCCAACTCCAAGCAAAATGAACCCGAACTGCCCAAATTGCACTTCAGGCCACGGCCCTTGCGTACGTTTCACTGTTGCTTTCCTGTTTTAAGTGTGGAAGCTGATAGCAATACCTCGTGGTTAGATCTGCGAGTAAATATTCAAGGTCACAGCCACCCAAGTCCATATATATTGCACATTCTACACAATGTGGATTTTCAGCACTGCGATTAAGAGTACTTGACTTGGACCCGACGGATGAGATCATTGTAGTTTTTACTTGACGTTCTGTGGCTTTTTTTTTTCACTGTCTGTTGAAGAGGAGTGTGCTTTTTCCTTTGATTCTTGTGAACATCAGAATTTGAATGTACTACCTGGTACCACGCCCTACATGCAAGATATAATCTGCCTATGATATATACATATATTTTTGGATAGTAGAATATCAACCATGCGCTTCTGTGATTGTGAGGGTTGACGTAATGTGCAAGAAGAGCTTCATTGGCGAATTACCTAAATGTAACGATCTGCACTCCCACATTAAATTGACATAGAGGTCAGTGTTTTGTTCTATCGGAGCCATAGAAAAAGGCTAGCAACTGACCTCTTCTAACGCTTTTGTTATACATCTGCAAACTTTTTTAACACTATATAACCCTCCTAGGCGGTCATCAGGAATGGTAGGAGATCAGTTATTGGCTTATTGGATTATTGAATTATGATTGCATAAATAGAATCACTAGAACTCCGTAGAACAATTAATTCATGACATGAGAGAAAGAATCCCACCTCCCACCCAAAACGAAAATGGCAATCATCGCTTGAAGTTTCTACTTTGCCAAAAGGTTCCCTTTTGTAGGCGGAAGCTATACAAGTGGTCGCAATTTCGTTTAGCGCAGTCCCGATTCGGATGTATCTCTTTTTTTTTTTTTTCTTGAGGTTGAGCGCTATCGACATTTGTAGTTGACCTCGTTTTTATTTATACCCCCAATTAATTTAGTTACCTAACATATAGATACTTGTTTCTTGCATCTAGATTCCCCTTTGGATTTTATCAAAGCACGCAAAGGAGCACTTTGGTATCTTTCCCACAATTGCTATACATATATTTGTGTGGCCTCATAACTTTTTGATAACAGCCCGTGGTGAAGTCCAAGGCCTGGTATGATCCAAATCATTACCAGTATCT